CTGCATCTTCAGCACCTGCAGTTAGCATTTCTGTAGGTTCACCATAGCTCCAATCAACTTCAGGTGAGCAGATCTGGCGAGTAAAAAGATCTACTCTATACACCCCTGGCATCTTTGCAAGTGCCCTGGCAAGCTCTACCACATATTTGACCTGAGAAATTATTTTCATAAAAAGCATAAAGAAGGAAATGAAATTAGAAAAGGTACATAATGATATTTTCTACTTGCACTGGGATCCTGCAGTTACCTGTCCACCTGTGTCAGAATCTCTACCAAGCTCCATGTTTTCACCCCGCACCAGCCCATGTAAACTGTTCGTAAGTAGAGATGCAACTATAAATTACATGCTCTGAAAGATATTGCCTTTACTGAATTATAAAATCAGAATTTATAGTGGGATGTAAAGCAAATTAACATCTACCATGCAACTCTAGGGGAAAAAAAATCTATGGCTGTTGGTAGATAACCAACTTGATGATGTCTTTAGTTCAACAACTCAAATCATTTCAACTACGATTGGTTGCAAAAGAAGTTGCTGACTATAAGATTAATAACCATCATTCCCAATATGACTGTCAAGATATTTGTTGCTTTGAACTACAATTACTATCATTTTTAAATTTCAGACGCAACTAATAACGGTTTGGAAATCTCAAGAACACCTTAAAAAGTAGCCAGTTGGTTGCAACCCTTCTAAATTGACAAGTTTTTACCCTTCCCTCTAGTTTTGAGCATCAAATTGAAATATCCAATGATTAAATGTATTCGGAACAGAACACTTGATATCATTCTAGTGACCGCAACATCTGACTTCTTAACATAGCCTAAGAGACAAGAAAGCCAATGACTGTTAGCATGAGGCATGAACTATTCCAGTAGTACTTTGGGTTACAGTGACCATCAATTAGTTCTACCAAGGATGATACCTGATGAGGACAATATAAAGTTTCTTCTCCTTTTTGTCATCTGACCATACTTCCAAGATGGAAAAATTTCTCTGGAACCTTTGCCTTGGTGTTTCACATTGCACCATTTCCCCTGTAATATCTCCCTTCTCTCCTCCCGATAAGTCCTCAGACATCTGCTCTGTGACATCCCTGAGTCCTTGTTCCCGTTCCCGTCTCCTCTTTGCCAATCTTTTGTTTTCTTCAGACTCCAGCTATTTGCACCGCAGGCAAAAAATTTAAGTTTTCCCCATGGTAAATAGACAACCTTAATTACCTCAAACATAACATAATCTTGAGATTTTCTGACAAAACCAGAAAACAATTACTAAAATAAAGGATGAGTTTTCCTTCACGAAGTTTCATTTTTCTACAACATCTACGCACGGGAGAGAGGAGGACATGCTTCATTTTGCGGGTGAGATGCAAAATGCGCCAGCACATGTTCTCGAGCCTAGAGCTGCGCTCGCGAGTGTTGCGGGTGGCGACCACCTTGATCCATGTCGGGTACAGATCAGACTCATCGACCCCCGTCACCACCTCCTCCACAAAATACTTCGTCGGATTGAAATGCCCTCCTCTTTCATTCACCTGTGCCGGATTATGCTCCTGTATGGTCGTCGCCCCAGTATCCAATATCGCCTCCAGGTACCCATTTATCTACTCGTTTCCAGCCATTCGTTCTCCCCTTCACTTTCCCAAGAAAATCAAATTTTATGGACTTTTTGTCAATTCCCCACAACAACACCTTACATGCAAATCTTTCTGCAACTTTCTTGCTCTCTTTAGGCCGTTTCCTCCGTTGTCAAACAAGAAAATCACGTGAAAGCTACCTCTTTTCTCGCTTTTTCTCAGTAATTTTCCGGGAAAATCAATTCTTTCCCCACTCTCTCAATGGATTACTTCAAAAAGTCACAAAC